CAATACCTCCGCCTGCATGAGGTGGAGCTCCGTAGCGGAAGGAGTCAATGTACGCCTTGATTTTTTCCAAGTCTAAAGAAAAAACAAATATATAATTATATTACAACTACGTTTCATATAGGGTGTAACATAAAATATGTTATAAAAGGCCATCCTTAAAACCTAAACCACCCCCTTCCCCCCACCCCGTTACCTGAATTGTGGGGAGTATCTTCCCAGGAGAATCCTTTTTTTGGTTGGGCGACTACACCCACACAGCAGCATCATCAGCACCCCGGACTGTTTACAAACATTACTACAAGTCCCATCTGCCACCACGGCGGATGAAACTTCTAGAGAGGGTGCCAGCGATCCCTCCACGGTTACCGCTCTGTAGTTCAGCTGCACTTCCTGCCTCAGGTCTGTAGCCCTGCTGTTTCACTGTCGCACGTCAGAGCCTTTATTGCTCATTGGCGGTACTGGAGGGTAAATGTTGAAGGTCAAGGATGTGTCTTAAGTCCAGGTTCACACCATTTTCCAGACCAGATCTGGAACGCAGTGCATTGCGTTTTGTGGCAATTTTGCCGCATTCCAGAGCAGGTTTTATTTTTGCTTTTTATTTTTTTTAAAGCTTAAAATGGGCTTTCAGGTGCGGTCGAGTGCGTTTGCATGCGTCTCCATGCGTTCCAGTGCATTTCAGATCAGAAAGAAAAAAAGACAAGCAGTACGTTTATTTTTTTTGGTCTGGCCCGGAACGGACTGCGCTGGTGTGAACAGAGCCCAGAAATACCATAGGGATGCTTTTTTTGGTCCGGGAACAAACTGTTCTGGTCTGGACATAATCCGGACATTGTGTACACAAGCCATCATGCCAGAATGGGGGTGGGGCTTAATTTTGTCTTGAAAAGACATGAAAACTCCATGCACAGTCTAGACCTAGAATCCAAGGGGTTCCAATAAGATCATTAAAAATGACCACAAAAACATGCAGGCACCAGAGGGCCTCTGTAATAAGCACAAGCAGGCACCAGAGGGTGTCTGTAATAAGCCCAAGCAGGCACCAGAGGGTGTCTGTAATAAGCACAAGCAGGCACCAGAGGGCGTCTGTAATAAGCACAAGCAGGCACCAGAGGGCGTCTGTAATAAGCACATGCAGGCACCAGAGGGCGTCTGTAATAAGCACATGCAGGCACCAGAGGGCCTCTGTAATAAGCACATGCAGGCACCAGAGGGCGTCTGTAATAAGCACAAGCAGGCACCAGAGGGCGTCTGTAATAAGCACATGCCAGCACCAGAGGGTGTCTGTAATACGTAGTGTTCTTTCTTTAGGTGCCTACAATGGAAGAGGCAGTATACTCACCTCTCTGGCTGCCCGTGTCGCCTACCTTTTCTCCATTCCAACGCTGCAGACTCCAGAAAGCACTTTAATATTCAACACTTCTGGGAGTGTAAAATGCCGGCGTTGTACTGTAGTAACATCTGCTGACCCCTATGTCAATGCTGAGTCCTATAGTGCTACAGGGGGTTGAAACCAGTGGGTGTCACAATAAATCCCATATACGAGTAGGATGAAACCACAATCCTTACTTAGGTCTCCAGCTTTGGTGAGCCATCTGCAAGTGAATGGAATCAACCTCCTGACCTAGGAAAATATTCCGGGGTATTACCCTGGTGCATCTATTATTGCCCTGCTAGTAAAGCTGCACATTCTGGCCATTTACAAACGCAAGAGAAAAGTATACACATTTTCCTTACCAATCGCATGGTGCTGCGCTCTTTCCGTCAGCAGCTGAGCGTCGTGCACTCTCTGAGCACCAGATAAGATCTCTTCGCCTCTCATGAACATATCATAGGAGTTTGAGTATTTCTGTGGGAGGGAAAATGATATTATCAATGATATAAAAATGCTATCATTCATAGAATAATGGGCTCACTTTACTAAAACATAATGACAGTTATTTGCAGCAAAGAGAGCAGAAAATAACAGTCACAAAGCTGAAATATAAAGATGGTTATGGACAGAAACAAATGCAAAGAAGGTTTCTTGCTCCTCTTATACTCATTGGGTTCCAGCCAAATCCTTTGAACGATTCTCCTCCTGAGTAATATCTGCTGAATGAATCATGCAAATACATCCTATCATGCTTAAAAAATGTATTTGTTTCTGATTCCAAAGACTTTAATCTCAAACGATCGTTCATTAATTTGTTACCCAGAATGGGTAGCTGAAGTCCTGTAGTATTTCGCCGATTCACAAGTGCACAGGACAAAATGATGCAGAGGCAAGTGTTCAGGACGACCATGACTACTGGATCTAGCACTGGGGGGTGCCAACACTATGACAAAGGCAGCGGATGTCTGTGGCCAAAATAGCCTTTGGTGTCCTTTATACACAGAAGTTTCAAATTCTTATTTGGATGATAAAACTTCAAAATGTCTTGTGAAGATTTTGCCTTTGTTACCCAGTAACGGGAGTAGGAGGAGTCACCAACTCAGATGGATTACCTGCTACTTCTCATATGAAACATAACACAAATCTATTAATCATTTAGTAAACGTAACAACACTATATTGCCAAAAGTATTGGGACCCCCCTCCAAATCGTTGGATTCAGGTGTTCTGTGACATTTCCTCGCTACTAAATATTCCGCGGTCACCTGTTAGCGGTATTATAACAAAGTGGAAGCAACTGGGAAAAACAGCAACTCAGCCACGAAGTGGTAGGCCACGTAAAATGACAGAGCGGGGTCAGCACATGCTGAAGCGCACAGTGCACAGAAGTTGCCAACTGTCTGCACAGTCCATAGCTACAGACCTCCAAACTTCAGATTGGCACAACAACAGTGCGTAGAGAGCTTCATGGAATGGGTTTCCATGGCCGAGCAGCTGCATCCAAGCCTTACATAATATGTTTACTCCACTGCTAATTTCTAAAACTATATTAAATCTCAAATAAGGTTCTAGTTCAGATCAGCAAAATACTGTACATTCCAGCTGCATGTAAATAAAATGACACCTGGTGGCGCAGCAGGTAAGGTGACTGCGCTACAAACACCAGCTTGTGAGTTTGAATCTGGGATTTGCCCACAAGAAAGAAAAAGCCAATCAAATATAGCCTGTCTGATAAACTCCTTAGGTTCTGGCTATGGTGCAGGTAAAATTGGCAACTTGGGTTCTAGAATGAGATCCTAACTAATAGGTTGGACTTGATGGACTAATGTCTTTATTCAACCTCAAATACTATGTAACTATGTAATTTTCTTTAGCAAGCAGCCACAGCCTGGGTGGAAGAGTCTGTCCCCTGCCAGCATGCTGCAGAGTGAGAAGTAGTGATCTCTTTAGAGGTCCAACACACACACACACACACACACACACACACACACACACTACAGAGTCAGAACTAGAGCTCTATAATCTGCACCGCTCATACACCCTGCTGATTGGCAGACCCTAGCTCTTACTTGAGATGATATCCTAAGAAAGAGGTCCTACAAGACCTTGAAATGTTACATCCATTAATTACTACTACTATGCAGTAAGAGTTGGTGGCGTGCTGGACTCTTCCTGCACAGTCTTCCTGGTGGTGCCAATACTGGAAGTGCACCCGTGACTGCAAGGTGACAGGTATGTCAAACGGACACACACTTGACTGTTCATTTACTCTTGTACTTAAAATTCAGCTTGCGCTATGGAGCCCTGTAAACATCAACTTTTTCCAGTAGGAGGTAAGGAGAAACTGGAAAATGTCCAAAGGAGGATAAAGCTCCACCTGCTGGAAATAAGAGTTTACAATATTCATATGCAATATTTTATATTTTTATTGTTTAGTCCCAATCATAAAGAAAACATGAACAAAACCATGATATATTCAATTTAAAGAACCATGTTTTACTAAATCCCACTGCATTCCCTAAAATAGGTCAATTATACATTTTTGTGTGCATTAATTGGGTAGCTTCAGAACTGTTGCACAAGGGGATCCAGAGTAACCTACGGTCGTAAGAAGAGAAGAGAGGCAGCAGAGAAAACGAGAGAAGAGAGGCAGCAGAGAAAGCGAGAGAAGAGAGGCAGCAGAGAAAGCGAGAGAAGAGAGGCAGCAGAGAAAGCGAGAGAAGAGAGGCAGCAGAGAAAGCGAGAGAAGAGAGGCAGCAGAGAAAGCGAGAGAGGCAGCAGAGAATGAGAGAAGAGAGGCAGCAGGGAATGAGAGAAGAGAGGCAGCAGAGAATGAGAGAAGAGAGGCAGCAGAGAAAGGTCGGTTATGAAGCTACCCAATTAATACACGCAAAAATGTATAATTGTTTGCACTCATTCTGTATTCTGATACATTTAAAACAATCTCATGACATGTAAGTATGGTCATTCTAATGTAAATGGTTTCATCCACTTGTTCCTTATGTAAGAAAGAACCATACATGTCTTTCCATGCAATATATTCAGTACATGGTACTCACAGGATCCTGGTGGTCGGGCATGGTGTAGAAGGGTCTCACAGCCAATGGGTACTTGTCCAGGATGTAGAAATCAGTATCATACTGGAAGGAGGAGAGGAAAAAGACAGTGTCAGTAAGGATTGTGTCACACAGTTCATCACAACCCCATGTCCTTATATCATGCATTGCCTGTCCCAGTCTGCATAACAGTACACATACTTGTATATTGGACCATATACTGGCAGCTCAAAAGGGTCAGTATAAACAAAACTCATATCTAAATTTTAGATGCAAGCAACTTTAACCATGCTTGAAGACGTGAAATCAATGCACCTGATTTCCCCACCTCACTCTCCTCTGTGGTCGCTACACGAGGGCGATACTTTCCCTATTTATTTATAAGAATTACATTACATAGACTGCAGCAGATGAGCCAAGAGGCCTGTTGCTACAAAAAAATGAGTATCCAAGGCTGAGGGACCAGGAACCTGGGACAGCTTGTCATTGGAGCTGCCAAAACAAGAAGCTGATGGTGACACAGCCCAATAAAATTAGAAAATGGCAACTGGCCAATCAATCTGATCAGTGGGCTAGCATGGCTGTGCCATAGGGAATTTAGTAACGCGCACTTGTAGTAAGTTATTGTTCCCCTTCCTAGCTTAGTGATAAATGGACAGTGCGGCTTCCAATTTTCTCCTATTGGTGTACACAGTATGAACACGAGACGTTTGGAGCTTCTTGCCATGGTCTGGATCTCTCATGTGCTGCTGTACCAGAGGGAAGAGCAGAGTTACTTCTAGCTGGTGCCCCATTCTCTGCTGCGTGCAATATGTTAAAATGACAAAGCTGGCTGTCTGACATCATGTTTCCAAAACCTGGAACAAGCATGTATCTAACGTACGTCAGAGAAAATCTGGAATATGTCAGAACTTGTTCAAGAATAGTTCAAAGTATGGAAGACAAAGCATCAGCACAGCAGCCAGACAACTATCATTTTCAGAAGGAAATGTCAGCCCCGGTAATCTACATATTTCTCCGAGTGAACTTGGTCTACCCCAGTCATAGTAATATTACCTTTTCCTTGACCAACCGTCCCAAAAGCTTCTCGTTAGGGGTGCTGGAAAACAAGAGGTACATGTTTATACATTATGTACCACAAACACACGTTACAGACTCAGTAACACAATGCTAGGAGGAATGATTATGTGCAATGCGCAGTGGAACCAGGAGGATTTCATCTTCCAGGTGTATGTCCAAGTCATTCTGAAGGGGGCGTGACCCCGGAAACGCGTCAACGACGCCACAATCTAGTGGCACACAGGCTGATTGCAGTCCTGAAACTGCTGTATCCTCGAAACCACCTATACATGCCTTTGTTTGACCTACCATTGTGAGTACCCTTGCACTCTATATTTGTGTCTTTTTAAAATAAAAAATCATCTGCACTAGGGTGGGCGCCCTTCTTTTTCTTTTGTATGTCCAAGTCAGGCTGGCAATTTTGTCAGGGATTTAAAGCTAGCGAAGTGAGCGAATTGCTATAGTCGCCGGCAATTTGTCTCAGCTACAGGTTTAACACACGTTACATCTGTACGTTCCCTTTCACTGCTACAAATCGCTCTCCGTAAGTGTCCACCAGAGGAGAATGCACATCGATGGTCATTGGCGAGCCCCCCCAACAGCTTATGCCTACATTCCTTTGCTCCACCGCTACTTTCAGCCTCGAAAGTCCAAAAAAATACCCGGTACTTTTAGGAATGCAGCAGCATGTGACTCCATCCAAATGATAGCACTGGGTCAATCAGTGCTGTCACATGGGGAGTCCAAAGCCCTGTGTAAGCTCCTGAACTGAGCTTCTCTGCTAGCTCAGTTCAGGAGCTTACACAGGGCTTCCCCATGTGACAGCACTGATTGGCCCAGCGCTGTCAGTTTCACTCTAATGCAGACCTCCACAGATGCATCCGCTCTGTCCTCCTGTGGCCGACGTTGCACATGGGGAGAGGTGCCCCTACCGTTCCCATCTGCGGCATCTGACACATTCAGCCACACGAGCACGTGACACAGGTCAGTGATCCAATCGCGATCTACCATGTTCGCTGTGCGATCAACTGGCAGATCACGATCAGCTCATTGACCCGTGTCCCACCCATTCCCGTCTGCGGCATCTGACACATTCAGCTGCACGAGCACTGTGGGAAGACAGGTCAGTGAGCCGATCGCGATCTACCAGTGTTCGCTGTGCGATCAACTGGTAGAGATCACGATGGACCTATTGGCACCCTGGTTTACAGCATGTTTTGACTTTGGGAATAAACATTATCCAGCTTGTGATATCAGACGTCTGTATGGCCATTGTTTCTGTGAGAAGCTGCAGCGTGCTTTTCTTGCCTGCGCCAACGAGAGGGATGGGGCTGTGTGAACATAGGACAAGGAATATGAGAAGTTGTCTGCTTTGGAAGTAGAATCAATTGCAAATGTCACCAGCACTCCAGCACGAAGCTATACGTCAGTGCAAATCCACTTTATTGATAGATGTCATACAGCCTGTATGACATCTATCAATAAAATATAATATCAATAAAGTGGATTTGCACTGACGTATATCTTCGTGCTAGAGTGCTGGTGACATTTGCAATTGATTCTGGATTTCTAGCGGCGCCATCCGCAGTCACTACAAGCACCAGTTACCCGGGATATCTGGTAAGGAGTGCGGCAAGGTGTATGGAGTATATTGCTTTGTGAGTAGGGCTCTAGTGTTTGTCATTTTTAATTAGCATTATGCACCTGAGGTCTTCTTCATCCCCCATCTCCACACCGGCTTCACGCAGCATCGCTAACCCCTCGCGGTATTCCAGGCGCAGCGTCGGCTCCAGAAATTTGAACGGCTCACTGGGGAACTGCCGACACACAGTCTGGATTTCTGTCTGAAATCTGGAAAATCAGGAATTTACAATACATACACACCTTGCAAATATTCTTTATAAACAGCAGTGAGATGTTACAGTAGATGTTGTAGAGCAAATGTGTATTGACAACTTGGCTTTGCCACTAGAGGGCGATCCTCTACAGGCAAATACTGGGACAACGGTGGTTATAGACCTAATAATCATCCCAGTATGGGGCAAAAATCACCCCTTCTCATATTTTTATTTTGTATAAACATCCCTCTGCTAAGCCACCTATCATTACTAAATTCTAGAGTGCCAACGCCTTCAGCACTGTGCAAAGCAGGAGCATAGAGGACCTTAAACAAAAACCATACTAAAGAGTAAAAACTCAGCCCAAAAGTATAACAAGAGAATCTGCCTGCCAGTCTATTTTAAAGCTGAACTCCGGGGCACAAAGACTCATTTTGGGCAGCACAGTGGCATAGTTGCCTTGCAGCACGGGGGGTCCCTGGGTCAAATCCTGGTCAGAACACTATCAGCAAGGAGTTTGCATGTTCTCCCTGTGCTTGCGTGGGTTTCCTCCGGGTACTCTGGTTTCCTCCCACACTCCAAAGACACGCTGGAAGGTTAATTGACTCCTGTCCATATCGGCCCTGAATGTATGTGAGATAGGGACCTTAGATTGTAAGCTCATTGAGGGCAGGGACTAATGTGAATGTGCACTATGTAAAGTGCTACATAAATTGTCAGCGCTATATAAATACCTGTAATAAATACAAAATAAAACTTAAATATATTCCTGAATAGCCAAAAAGCATACAAATTTACTTTGTGTGCACCAAATGTCTTTGCAAACCCCGTTATCACCTTGTAGAAGTGGCAGTGACATCATCGCTGTGCTGTACTTTACCTGTGCAGACAGCAGAGCTATGGGAAGCTCCACCCACTTTAGGCTGCCTAAACTACAGGAGGGGGCGGAGACAAGACCAGTCACCCTGCACAAGTAGAGAGTGGCTCTGTGCAGGTCCTGTAATAAAGGCCGGTCACTCCTGCTGAGTTGCACACTGGATGACGCAACAGACCATGGAGTTCAGCTTTTAATAAATCATGCGGCCTAGGAGCACACACCCCAGATCCTTGTAATTACCTCCCTTGTTCAAAGCAGCCTCCTCTGTCACACCTGAAATCACTTCCAATGTCCATGGAGGCCTCAACTTTTCTATTTGATGAAGTGGCCAGTATGGTACCCCCATCTACCCCCCCCAACCCCCCCCTGTCCAATGACAGTGTCTTACTTGCCAGGAAGGACAAAGACTCCACATCATCCATGGACTGGGCCCCAAGTTGAGACAATGAGGCACAGGGGGGTCTTTTCTGGACAAGAGGTAATAAGAGGCACCTTCAGGAATACACATTGTGGGCCTTCTCGATGCCCCTTTTCTGCATGACATTGTTTTGCATTACCTCTCCTGCAGTCCCTTGAATATCTGCACCATGGTATCAGCGATCACATCCACCACCTCGTGGTAGTGATAGTTGAATGACATCTCTATATCCAGACCTACAAACTCAGTCAGGTGACGGTGAGTGTTGGAGTCTTCAGCACGGAACACTGTGGAAAAGACGGGCAGCCAGCGGTCAGGAGAACAGCAATCACAGCAAGAAAGCACATTTAGAGAAGTGCACCGGGTTTTGTCCATACCGACCAATCACAAGATGCCATTCTTCTAATGCAGGTTAACCCAATGCATGCATAACTTCATTTACACATTATCTGGCAGGATCAACGGGTATTATTTTGGTAAATGATCGAAGAGATACACAAAGCACTTTCACTGGGATATTTAACAGAACAAATAAGAAGTTCATTGTTGGGGTTTACATACACTTGAATGCAGAACTAGCTAAAAATAAATAGCACATTAAAAGATTTAAAAAAAAAAGTATTTTGCAAATATTCATCTTTATTTCAGAGATTTCCCCTGCAGAACTTTTTTCCAGCATCACTAAACCCATTTTCTATTAGCCCCGGGTCGTATAGGACCTGCCCGAGCCTATGACTGGACAGTGAATGGAGAAACCGCACAGTGATGAGCTCATCTCTCTGCTCTCTCGTATCAGCACGCAAACGGATTGGCTCCTTGTGCTGTTTCTTAATCTCACATTCCAGCCCTGCTGTGCAGGAACTGCAAGAGGCGAATACCAGGTCAATTTCAAGTACTTACATTGCTTGCATTTAAATAAGAGCAAAGGGCCTAGAGATAAACTTGCTTGATTTTGCACACAATCAGTGGGGTGGGTTGCTGGTGGACAGCGACGCCGCTAAGAACCAGGCGGGATGATGTGTATCGGCTCTGCATCTCCCTGCCCAGCTCTTAATAACCTGGGACACTCTGGTTGGTGTCCCACACCAAGCTCCTAGCAATCAGTGATGTCAATGGTTGCCAGAAGCTGAGTGGGACGCTGGAATGAGTGTCTCAGGTCGCCAAGAGCTAGGCAGGGAGTTGTGTATGGCCTTACACATCTCCCTGCCTGGCCCTTGGTAACCTGGGACACTCTGGCCAAAATGGGGGCGGCAGGTGTTCTATCAAAGTTTGTGACTGCGTTAGAATGCGTGACCGGTCACGTGGTCACACATTTTAACGTAATCCCGCCCACTTTCGGTGGTGGCATATGTGACCGGCAAAAGGTGAAGAATTCCATCTCTCGCAGCTGTTTCAGGGCAGATCGGCATCGCAGATGGTATGTGCAGGAGAACCGATTTGCCCTGAAACAGCTGATTGGTTCTGAAATGTCACTTCTATCAGACTTTGTGGAATGTGAGATCGCAGTCACAAAGTCACATTTCAGGACCGATCAGCTTTTCCAGGGCAGATCGTTTCTCCTGCACATACCATCTGCCATGCCGATCTGCCCTGAAACAGCTGCGAGAGATGGAATTCTTCACCCTTTGCCGGTCACATATGCCACCACCGAAAGTGGGTGGGATTACGTTAAAATGTGTGACCACGTGACCGGTCGCACATTCCAACCCAGTCACAATCTTTGATTGAACACAGGCACACTGCAAACATTGTGCAGCAGAGCGGCTCTGCCTACCGCCACCGCCACCCCCCCCACCCAAACGTGACCCAAAGAGATGCCGTCTTATGCAATAGCCTTGGGCCGCCTCATTAAAGGGATGGCCCTGGCTGTGGGGACTGATCTAGAAGCCCAGAGGGAGCCAGGTGAACTGAGAATCAGGTAAGTAAAACAGCTTTATTTGACCCCTTAGACAAAATGAGGACTTAACCCTTGCAGTGGGGGGTCGGGGGTGGGGTAGCCCCACTGCAAGGGTAAGTTTTTTTTATTTACCAGGAGTATTAATGACTACAGAGCTGCATTAAGGTTGTGTCCTTTACATCTCCATAGAGTTCAGCTTTAAGAGAAATGCTTAACTGCCGGTTACTTTTTAGATTAAAAAAAACATTCCATACCAACATAAACCTAACGTGGTTGTAAATGTGCACTGGGAAGGTCAAGTGTTACAGCACTCCCTGTAACAGAATGTGTTATGGCATATTGTTTGGCATTTATGTCTCATGCAGATGTAATTAAACAGTATAACGAGGCCGGTCACCAGGTGGCAAATTACCCACAGAGAACGTCACACTAACGAACCTCAGCTACACGGATTACCTCATTATTGGTTCAGCGGACAATCTTTCAAAAGGTCGGCAGCATCATTATTAGATTTTAACTGCTCTGATGTTCCATCATTAGAGGCGAATATTGCCGTTACAGGCGACGTGCACCAGAGGGCGCCAAACTCCACCACTAGGAGAGGATAGAGCGAGAACAGCAAACGGCTCCGTCATATTCGGGGTTTAGTGGTAGAAGACATCTGAATTCTTAAGAAATCTTTCTCTTTCAAGTTGTTCATAAAAAATAGATTCCTTTTCCCGGGTATTGCACGGTTTCAATATTGCCTCTCATATGAAAAGTGCGATTTGCCTGATCGCCCACGGCTGTTCAGTTTTGCCGCTATTTATAAACTGATGGCTCAGAAATCTGAATTAATGAAATATATCTGAAAAAAGGGTACAAAAACAGGCAAATCTTATTTTTAATGGGCCCTTTAACATTTAACGGCTACGGCTGTTCAAGTTACTTGGTCCAGGAGTTTTAAGGTGAGAATTCTGCGGGTGCCGAGAAGATCTCGTTAAACCTGAATGCTTTTGCACTTATTACCTTATAAAAGTGGCAGTGACATCATCACTCTGCTGCGCATATCCTCTACATAGAGCAGAGCTGTGGGAGAGCCTAGTGGATCCCACCCACTACAGATTGCCTGTTGAAAACGACAGGAGGGGGGCGGAGACAAGACCAGCCAACTTTGCTGACCTGCTTTTGAAAGCAGAATGAAGTTAGAACTCGTTCTCAAACTGAAATGCAAACTCTTTCTGGATCAGTGACACAAGGTTTTGAAGCCAATAGATCAACGTGAAATCCAGGCATTCTATAATTATTCACTATGGTTGGCTGCAATATTCCTACAATCGGGAGCCCCCTCCCCGCAGTACCTCCTCTTCACCACAAGATGTCCTCAGTATTTCAGGTTTTAAACTGGAAGACCAAAGCCGGGTATACACACTTATATCTTCTTTGTTCAACCTACCGGCAGAACAAAGAAAATATAATAGATCCATCAAGGCTCATAAGCATTGATGGACAAATCAACCCCCCCC